TTTGTGTGTAGCTTCCTTCATTGATATTTGTATGTTGATTGACATGTTGATCCTTTGATACTTCAATGTCATTCTTTGCTGTCGATTATGGACATATCATTCTTTATTCAATATTTGCTTGTGAAGAGGCTTCATTCATTGCAATCAATTATAAGCATGATATGTTGAAATATGCAAGCTTTTTGTTTGATTATTGATATCCATCAAAAAGATTTAGGTCTCCACTTAGCATGGAGTAATTACTAAGTTAAAGTCTCATGTTGTCACATTGAGCTTGCTAGAATTCGAATCAAATGCTTGCAAGTTTAAGTCCCAAATAAATTTGTTGAACTTAAGATCAAGTTCAAAATTCTATGTATTTGTTCTTTGTTTATTCTTGAGTTCAAGTTCCAGTGCATGTCTCTTTTGAGTTCAAATAGGTCCGAGTGCAAGTTCTCTTGTAGTTGTTCAAAACTACAATCTCAAGTCAATGTTCTTTGCATTTGTTCTTTTGAGTTCAATTAAATTCTCTTATATCTTTTTCAAGTCCAAGCCTTGTCGTCTTAATGTTCCAATCAATTTCTTATTTTAGATCAAGTCCACAATTGATCCAAGCTTGACTTTAGTTCAATATAAATTTTTTTTATTTGAGTTTAATTGCTTTATTAAGTCATTTAGTTCTTGTTCAAAAGTCCAAGTACAAGTTCTCCGTTGTTCTATCAAATTCAAAGGTTCACAAGCTGAGTCCAAGTTCGATCGTCTTTCGAGTGCAATCAAGTCCAAGTGTAGCATTATGTCACCCAAAATTTCGGCAGCCTTCCGGCGTCTCCCCCGTTTAGGGGAAAACTACGGAAAACTAGGCCTTTCCCACCACGGTAAGAAAAGCGTGTATGGTAGGTGCCCTCTTTCGAAGACACCGCGGCCGTGTTATTTTTTTGATGCCCCACCACGCTAAGAAAAGCATGTATGGCTTTTTTGAAAATATTTTGCAAGAAAAAACAGTTATTTCCCCGCAAGAGGGTACTTATGGGTATCCCCGCTTCGTCGTACGCATTGCACCGGACTCCCTTCCCACCACACTAAGAAAATCATGTATAGGCGGGGTTTCCAAGGCGATACGAACTTCAAAGAAGGGATTTAGGTGATTACCCGCTTCGTCGCAAGTGTCGGGACGCACTCCCTTCCACCATGCTAAGAAAAGCATGTATAGGCGGTCGTTTTTTTCTCGACGAATGCGTTGAAATCGGGTTCTCGGAGTTTTAGGGTTTAGAAGTTATACCTGCGCGGGGTCGGCACGTGAATCGAGGGAAGGGAGAAGCATTTACTTTATTTTTGTAATTAATCATGATTAACCATAATTAATTATGACTAATCACAATTAATTATAATATAAAATTATAATGATTCCTAATTAATTATAAGTTATTAATTAAAATTAATTAACATTAATTTTAATTAAAATTAATGTTAATTAATTTTAATTAAAACTATTTAACCCCTCCCCCTTTCTCTGCTTTGGGAGATTTACGGGATACAGCCGAAGAAGCGCGCGAAGGGGAGAAGGCCACCTACACAGCCAGTGAACTCACGTTATTGCTTCTGATCCAAATGTTGGAACTTCCGATCTCTACTGGAAAGGGAAGTCGTTGCTGGAGGTACGAAGTCGATCAGCACAAAGTAGTCGGAGCAGGGGCACGAGTGGCTTGAAGAGGAGTTCGGTCAGCCATGAGTTCGGACAAGGCTCGGGATCTGACGGGTAGGGTGAGTTCAACGTCGGGTTTCGATCGGAGAAGGAGGTTGGACGTCGTCGCTTCCGATCGGCTTTGGCTAGGTAAGAATGACAGCTTCTTCTTCCTCTCTCTCTCTCTCTCTCTCTCTCTCTCTGCTTCTTTGAGATCGGGCTCGGCACAGGCAGTGGTCGGGATCGGAAGAGAGGTCTGGGAGGAGGAGGATTTCGTTTGTTTGTGCAGTTGAGCGTGGAGAGGAGCTCGGCTTCTATTTAACCATGCCTGTGATCGTTCGATCGAGGCACCGTTGCAGGAAATCTAGGAAGAGACGCGAGTCCAGCGGCTCCAGCAGGATTTCGGGCTGGATTTCGGGGATTTGGACGGTTTCTCGACAGATAGAGGATTCCAACCGGGATTTCAGCAGAAATTCTGGATCCGAAAGTCAAGGTATAATTTCATTTTTGTTTCTTTTAGGTATTGTACAGAGGTCAACATTTTTTTAATGCTATTGGCAATTTCAAAAAAAAAAAAAAAGTTCCTAATAATCGTATTATTTCTATTAAATATAGCACTGGTTTTGCTTAAGGATCTTTGCCTGTTAAGTATTTAGTTGTCCCTCTATATATGGCTAGAAAGAAAACATTTCTTTTTGATGATCTTTTACTTCTGTGCAAAAGAAGCTCATCTCTAAGGATTCTAACTTTCTTAGCTTTGGGGGTAGATTAATCCTCTATTGAAGTTTAAAGGATCTATCCTCAACTCTTTTTTAACTGCCTCTATTAAAGTTATTTCTCTTGCAAATGTCTAGTGAGAACATTCATGACTAAAGCAAAAAGATATGGACTTAAGGTTGATCCTTGATGCAATTCAACCGAAATAGAAAAATACTTGGTCAAACCACCTTGTGTTTGAACACAAGTAATAGCTCTTGCATAGATATCTTTAATGATTTGAATATAAGCATTATTAACTCATTTCTTTTCAAGAACTCTCCATAGCACTTCTCTTGGAAATTTGTCATATGCTTTCTCTAAATCAATAAATATAATATGTAGATCATCCTTATTCTCTCTATATTTCTCCATCAAACCTCTCAATAAATGTATGACTTCCATAGTAGACCTACCCTTCATGAATTTAAATTGATTTTGAGAAACATTAGTATCACGCCGCAACCTACGCTCCATAACTCGCTCCCATAGTTTTAAAGTATGATAAATTAACTTAATTCCTCTACAATTCGCACTCTTGTGAATCACCTTTATTCTTAAAAATAAAAATTAACACACTCATTCTCCACTTATCTGGCATCTTTTTAGTCTTCAAAACAGTATTAAAAAGTTTAGTAAGTCAAGAAATTCTTTAATCTCTTAAGCATTTCCACATCTCCATTGGAATATCATTAGGTCCCACAGCTTTTCCACAATTCATTTTCTTTAAAGTCTCTCTAACTTCGGTTTTACTTTTTTGCCGAAAAAATAAAAATCTTTATTTTCATTTAGGGTGATGAAGTCTCTAAAGTTAATTGTATTTTCACATTCTTCATTAAAAAGTTTAGAAAAATATCTCATCCACCTTTGTTGAATATCATCTTCTAAGAAAATAATAAAAAAAGAAGCATAAATCAATTAAATAAATCCAAATGAAATAAAAAAAAAATTAAATAAAAATGAAATAAAATAAAATAATATTCAAATAAATCAAAATTAATAATTAAATAGTAGTAAAAAGAATTAATTAAAAATAAATTTAAAATTTAAAAAAAAAAAAAAATTATTGAACTTAAACATTTAAAAGAAGTTAATTAAATTTAAATAAAAATTCAAATAAATGTTTAAATTTTAAAAATAAATAAATTAAATTAAAAATAGAGAATACTGAATAAAAATAAATAAACCTAAATAATTGATCAAATTCAATTCAAATTAGTTAAATAAATTGAATTAAATAAATAAAATACACTTAAATAAACAACTTTAGTAAACATGAAAGCTATATGTATATGTTATCACTTTTTTTTCTTTTTTATATTTACACTTCGCAATTTATAACTTATAAAAAGGAAAATTAACAATGAGAACGCCTAGATAAACAAACTTAGAAACTAATCCTCTCTTTACAAAGGAAGTGAAAGAGGATTAATTAAAAAAGAAAGTGCATGTAATAGAAATTTTGGGACAAACATTGGCCACTACCTTAACTAAGAAAGAACCAGATCAAGAATTGCTCCTAGTCTGCTAAACTTCATCTTGTAATTCAAACATCTTCTATTCTTTGACTACCATACTAGGCAGTTGCTGAAGAATTTTTTTTTAATCAATGTTCATACCAAATGACAGTATCGACTTTTGTTCTCTCATTTGACTATTTGATTTGGTTACAGAACTCGTTTGACTGCGTATTACTTTACATTCAGTGAGACATAATAGATGCGTTTTTCACAAATTTTTTTTAAGATATGCATATAACATTAAGCATAAGAAACCTATGTGATATATATCCTATCACAATCCTTCCTAATCAAGTCAATAAAACTTGAAGGAAGTTCGTTAGAAACAAAAGCATAAAAAAAAAATCACCTAAGAGGGCATAATGGGAACAAACATCAGTTACTCTATTACACTATCTACAAACAAAATGGAAATTTACATTATGGAAAATTTCAAGAAATGAAAAATCCAATCTTTGCATGCTTTTATTCCGATGATTGATCTTCTTGATTAAATTTTGCAATAATTTGATAACATTGATACCTTCAATAATGATTCCTTGCTTTTCACTCATCCAATCTTTAATTAAATTTTTGAAATAAAAAACAACAAGTAACTCCAATAATGAAATATCCCAATGGAATAGCTTCTTTCCATATTAAGCAAGTAAGAATCTGCCTTTATAATCACGCAAAACTCCTGCCATACTTGCCACATTAAACTATATCAGAGAAGCATCAACATTCAACTTAATCCAATCTGTATGTGGGGGATACCAATTTTTAGACAACACAACATGCCGGTTAGCTTCCCTGTTTTGGCAAATGGAATTAATTGTGGTTGAATTGAATTAGAAAGAATATGAGCTGCAATCATACCTGTTGTAGGACCCTTAATTTCATGCTTAAAACAATTACTTGCTTTCCAGTTATGAAAAATCGAAGACAGGCAAATTTTGGCTGCTCCAGAATTTGATGAGATAATTTTCTCCAAATTATTCAAACAATGAGATAAACTATGAAATTTAGGCAACTGAATATCCCATTGCTTCAACTTATCAAATATTTGATTGAACTTTTTGCAGTGAACTGAAATATGATGAACATCTTCAATTTCCAAACAATCTCTTGGACAAAATATTGAATCTTGCAATTTTCTGTATTTCAACCAGAAATTAATAGGTAATGCATTGTTTATCAATCTCCATCACAATAAGACTTTCTTAGGAGTTAACTTTAATTTCCTGATCCATGTAACATTTATTCCAACATTATAATGAATGGTAGAAGCCTCATACGCCAACACTATAATAGATTTACCAGAATTAGCAACCAAATGTTTTGGTTGATTTCCATCTGAATTAGAAATAATCAGTATTTCATTGATTAACTGCGTTAAATCATCAGAAAAATAATTCTTTAACAATGACTTCTTCCATCTACCATCTTCATAAAGAAGAAATGACACCAATTTATTTTGAAGATCCCTTATATTACAACTAGTTGGCCCTTTATTTAAACATCTATCCAGAATCCAAATATAATTTGTAATATTGATTCTTGCACCATTGGTTACTTGCCATCTGATGATAGGTTTTAGAAAACGAGCCCCATCTTTTATTGTACATCAAACCAGTGAAGAGCCTCTTCTAATATCTTCATTCCAAATATCATTACCATATTTTGCCACAATATTTTTACTAAGAAGATAATTTTGATTTTGAATGATGTTCCAAGCAATGCGAGCTCTTAAAGGACCCTGTCTTTCACCAGCACTTTGAATTCTAAGACCACCTTGATTAATAGAAGTACAAAGAGTATTCCATGAGATATGATGCAATCCCTGTCTTCCTTGTTCCTTATGCCATAAAAATATTCTACAAAACCTGCCAATATCATATAGAATACCCTTTGGAACTAAAGAGCGAGTCCTTATGAATGAAGGAATTGAAGAATATGCAATTTTAATCAACAAATTTTTTTCGTCCAATAAAAGAGATCGAGAACCCAACGTATTAAGCCTTTCCATTGCCTTATTTAGAACATGTTGATAATCAACAGCTTTTAATCTTCTTGGAGCCATCTTCACACCTTGATAGGTAATTTCAGTAACTACTCGATAACTAAGAATCTTATTTAATTTTCTTTTCCTTCTGCTAGAAACATATTTACCAAACAATACCATAGATTTCTTGAGATTAATTTTTTGTCCAGTCCAGCTGCAGTAATCCAGTAGAATTTTGTTGATCAACTTAGCGTTGTACTGTGAGTCCTCAGCTACTAGAAGAATATCATCAACATACAACATATGAGAAATCTTTGCTATATTTGGAGCAATTCTAATACCAATATCACTTCCTCTGTCATGAATTACTTTAGAAGGCATCTCAGAGCATAGAATAAAAAGACAGAGATAATGGGCATCATTGTCTTAATCTGCATTCAACATTTGTTCAATAGAGAATTTTCAATAGCTAATACATTGAATAATTATGTTTATAATCTTCTCAGGGAAACCCATAACATGTAAAATATGATTTAAAGTTTCCCAACATATGCTATCATATGCTTTCTCCATGCCTAGTTTGAGTAACATATACCCAGGATATGCTTTTAAGAATCTGAATTTATTTAAAATCTCAGTGTCAGTAGAAAATTATCAAAAATAGATCTTTCTGATACAAATGCTCCTCATTGTTCCGAAATAATCCTAGGAAGGCATTCCTTCAATCTATTTAATATCATTCCTACCACAATTTTATAGATTGTTTGACATAAGCTTATGAGTCTAAACTTAGTCACTTCAGATGCATTAGAAACTTTAGGAATCAAAACAATAAAAGTTTCTTTCCAAATATCAGGCATAATACCAGAATTAAAGAAATTCTCAACAACATTCCGAACTTCAATATTTACAATACTACAGAATGATTTAAAGTAACAAGCATTAACTCCATCGTTTCCAAGAGATTTATTATTGTGCATCTTCATGACAGTAGATAAAAGCTCTTGTTTATAAAAATCTACTAATAACACCTGCTTCAAGTCTTCATTTAACTGATGATCAAATTGAAATATATGCCAATTATTAAGAAAACATTGTTTTTTTTCCCATTTCTTAAGGTAACATTTTTCAAAAGCTGACTGAATAACTTCAGAATCTGTCTCAATAGCTACATTAGAAATAGTAATTTGATTAATCATATTTCCATTTCTTCTAGTAGTAGCATAACCATGAAAAAAAATGAGAATTTTGATCTCCTTCCAACCATTGGGATTTAGTACGTTGTCTCCACCAAGTTGATAGTTTAGCAAGATTAATATTAAGCTCATGAATTTTCTTCCTCAATTCAAGCAGCTTATTCGGGTTAAAACTGTGAATGCTTTCCTCTTCTTGTGATAACTTAATGTCTTTTTGCAACGCAGACTTTAAATTGTTCAGTTCCTTCAATTTATTCTTGCTCCAAAAAAAATAAATTTTTAAGAGATATTAATTTTCCTTTGAAGAATATCCGATGCAGATCCAAAATCTTGCTTTCTTCATGCATTTTTAACCACACCCCAAGAAGCTTCATAAGAATACACATTCTCAAATATGATAGATTTTTTATTATAGATGCGTTTTATCACTTAGGGGAAGCATTAATTTTAAAGCCTAGGACTGTTGATTTAGAGCTTCAAACTTTGTAGTGTTTAATTAACAAGATTTTTTAGAACTTAAATAAATAAAACACATAATTAAAAGAAAAGATTCTATGCAATTGCTCTATCATTTAGAGTTAAGATTTGTTAATTATTTACTTCAAATACTTTTTAGTTATTATTCACAAGTGTTCTTTAAAACTTAAAGCTAAATAACTTACTCTTAAGACATTTTAATAAAATATAAAACACTAAATCATTAAAATTTAATTCTAAATTAAATCCTTTGGTTTTTAAAACTATGGGAGCGAGTTATGAAGCGTAGGTTGCGGCGTGATACCGATGTTTCTTAAAATCAATTTGGATTCATGCTGGATAGGTCTACTATGGAAGTCATACATTTATTGAGAAGTTTGTTGGAGAAATATAGAGAGAATAAGGAGGATCTACATATTATTTATTGATTTTGAGAAAGCATGTGATAAAGTTTCAAGAGAAGTGCTATGGAGAGTTCTTGAAAGGAAAGGAGTTAATAACACTTATATTTAAATCATTAAAGATATGTATGCAGGAGCTATTACTTGTGTTCAAAGACAAGGTGGTTTGACCAAGTATTTTCCTATTTCGGTTGAATTACACCAAGGATCAACCTTAAACCCATATCTTTGGTCTATACTTTTTGCAGATGATATTCTTCTTGTTGATAAGACTAGAGAGGGAGTTGAAGGTAAACTTGAATTATGGACGTCAAACTTAGAGTATAAAGGTTTTCGCTTGAGTAGATCTAAAACTAAATACATGGAGTCTAATTTTAGCAGTAATAGACCTAGTGAGGGGATTGTGACTTTGATCAAGTAATTAATAAGAGTACACATTTTAGATTTCTTGGATCTATTGTTCAGAGTGATGGTGAAATAGATGGGGATATTATCAATAGAATTTAAGTTGGATGGTTGAAGTGGATGAATGCATTGAGCTTGTTGTGTGATAGAAAAGTCCCCCTCAAACTTAAGGGAAAATTCTATAAGATGGTGGTGAGACTTGCAATGCTTTATGTTGCCGAATGTTGGCCATTAAAAGAGAAGCATAATAGTAAGTTAAGTGTTGTACAGATGAAGATGCTCAGGTGAATGAGTGGCTTTACCCTTAGAGATAGGATATGAAAAGAACATATTTGTGAAAAGGTTGGAGTAGCTCCAATGGAAGATAAGATTAGAGAGACTCGCCTTAGATGATTTAGTCACATAAAATGGGAGCCTTCCGATGACCCGATTAGGGAAGTTGAGGTATTAGATTTGACTTATGTTAAGAGAGATAGAGATAGACCTAAAAAGACTTGGTTAGAAAATATTAGAAATGATCTTTCTTTATTAGATTTAAATGAGAATTTGACTTTTATTAGGACACAATGGAGAAAAAGGATTCATATAGCCGACCCTACATAGTGTGGGAAAGGCATGATGTTGTTGTTGTTGCAGATAATATAAATAAATAATTAAACTAAAACATACTCAAGCTACACAGCTTAACACAAACTTTAGATTTGTTTGCTAGGACAAGTGATTCTAGTCTATGCTAGATTGGTGTTCTTTTTCTGCATTTTGGTGATTTGGTTTCCTTGCTTGTAGAGTGTCTATATGTTGTATGTTTACTTTCCAGTACTCTGGGATGTCATATACATGCATTGCAGTTTTATTTGCTTGCACTGCATCTTTCCTTATATTACACCTTACTTTTCCAGTTTGTTGCATTTTGTATAAGCTCAGTTAGAGTTTGTATTTTCTTTTTTGTTAATGTGGGCTCCAAAATTTCAGCCCCGGCTTCCGCCCGCTGTTTTTTTTATTCGGCGAGGGAGTTTTAACTGAATAAGTTCCGAGGTAAATTTTGGAAGGCAGATGAGTTAGTAGATAAGACACTACCCAGAGATTTCTCCCTCATTTTGTGAGGACTTTATGATCTGAGTTCTGGTTTCCTATAGCCGCAAGCCCATATAGTTAACTACCTCTCCCGATCATGAGAGAGAACTTTCGATTAAGACTAATCGTCAATCAGATACGTAGAAATACGTGTTATCTGGCATATAGTAGCAGCATGGGTATGAAATTTTGGAAATTGGGTTTGGATTTGGGTATTTGGAAAGGTTTGAAAAGTTTGATATTTAAAACTGGAATTTTCACCATCTGGAACTTAAAGCGGATGGTTGGGGAATGGATGATAGTCCCGATCAAGATCCCATGGTTCCGTCATCCCGGGCCATCATGGTCCCTGGTCTACTTAGTCAGAGGAGAGTCGACCCAACCCGACAGAAGGATCCTTGTCGGCAGCCATGGGTTGCTTCGTCCAATGGAACCATGTAGACCTTGGTTGGATGTTTGTCTAAGGGGACAATTTTAAATCCACCTTAGCTAATAGAGAGCTTTGTGCCCTATCAATCATATCCTATTGATTCATGTCTCAAGGATTTAACGCCATTAAGGAGCGTATTGGTTCTGTCCATAGCCGCTATCTGTGATGCCATTTGACGGCAAAACCACTCGGTTCAG